CAAGCTGCTCAGTTCCGCCGACAAAACAACCTTCATTCAACAGGATTCGCCAAGCCCGCTTCCGTGCCTGAGGGAGTCCATAGTGGCTGGTGTCGAAAAGTTTGGTGGCAAAGGCATAGCCAAATTTCTCCAGCTCGTTGAACAGGTAAAGGACATTGTCACTGACATCGGCATCTCGAGCCATTTCCTCCACATTCTCCAGCAAAGCAACCATAGGTCTGTGAGTTTGCAATTACCTGAGCATGGCCTCTGCCGTCTGCCCTGAGGACCCTGTCATGCTGCGTAGGACTGATTGGTTTGCCTTAGAGTTCATCCGGCTGAGGTTCTTGCAGCTGTAGCCAATGATCGCCAAGAAAGGTAAACTTCTGACAGGGCAAAGCTGAGAATGCCGGGCGCACATGGCCTCAGAGGCTTGCAGGTCAATGAACTCGTTGAACAAACAACCATCCTCCGAATTTCTGAAAAACGTTACTTCTTTACGTAAATTCGGAAATTAATAATTTCTGAATTTCTGAAATTCTTCAACTTGGTGTCTCTTAACTCGGCTTGGTGTCTCTTAAACTTGGGATTTCTGACGGCCGGCATTTCTGACGTGTGACTGTTGGGGTCTACAGAGATCTAGGGTTTGTAGGGTCTTGGATTCGCCTAAATTATTTCAATGAATGCCCCATCAGACCATCAGCATCAAAGAGTCCCTTGCTTCTTTTGACCCCGTTTTTTGCAGCGCTTTTGGCGCGGAGGGGGCGCAACACAGTGATATTTGCGCCAGCATTTGGGAGAGCCGTAGTTTGGAAGCGCAATGTTGGTATTGTCCGATACCACCTCCAACGATTATAAATGGTTCCAGGACCATGCACAATACAAATTTAAAAATTGCCTCTAAATTTTGGTCGGGACTAAAACTGGTGTACAATTCAGATTTGCAATGGCTCAGGAGGCGGGCGGATCCTTGTGAACCTGCCATGACATGGTTGGGGGCTCGGCGGGCAGATGACGACGGTGATCTAAGGAAGGCCCCAACCCAAACGTAGAAACTATGGGACATTGGGTGCGTCGTGAAGACGGTAATGCAGCGCCAGCCCAATCAACCGCTGGATTGGCACCACTATGACTTTGGGCGGCTGCGAACCCCCAAACTTCACCTTTTTTGAGGAACTCACGGACTTTGACTTTGGCTTTGGCCTTGACTTTGTCATCAACTTTGTCATGAACTTCGACGGAATGAACACGGAGGAAACAACCACGACGGCAAGGTGACTTGGCCTTGAGATGGACGAGCAAGATGAGGAGAAGAGGCGTTTTGTTTTTGGGTCACGCACGCGCAATGGATGCCAACACCCAGGAAATTATGAATCGGTTGGTTGAACTCACATTTGCAACCACCCACACACATCTTGCGGACTGTCTGCGCGCGCTTCTAGGCCCTTTTTCTTTTTCAATGTTTAGGCGGGGAAGCTATGGCCACCATTTTTGAGCGACTACTGGTCGCTGGACAACAGTTCTTGAAAGGCTTGCGACGCCTCCGCAGCTACAGTGACGCGCGGCAAAAGCCATTGGAGAGCATATTGAGGCATTTGTCTGCTGTACCAGAGGTTACCGGTTCCAACTGCGCAAGCTGCCAAAATCTTCTCCTTGTTGGATGAGGATGTATGGGATGAGGACTCGTTGCGTGTTCTGCGTGAGCACGTGGCGGAGAAAACCATGGACGGAACAGAAGCGTCACAGGGTAGGAGAGCCACCCAGGACTTCACAGACATGCCCCGTTTCTTGCCCGATAGTGTTTGGCAGGTGCTTTTGAACGAAAAGGTTTCTGGACAGGAAGGTTTGGAGGTGCTTTGTCATCATGCAGCGAAGTTGGGATTGCGACTACCATCGGAAGCTACCATTGCTATGCTCTTGACCTTGTCTTACCAAGGTCAAGCATTGGCCATGTCTAGCAATGCTAAGTTCAATCTGTCCGTGAGGCAGAAGCCACTCATCAGAAAGATACTCCAAGCCAAGAGTCGGCCCGCGGTCTGGTTGACTGCGCTGCCGGAAGCATGGACAGATCTCCCGGCTATGTGCAGGGAACTGGCCTTCCCCGAGGGCGTGCAACCGGCCCCCACTCCGATTGGAAGTCTGGATTTTGGAGCCATGGCCAAAGCCCGGCCCATGCGCAACACGAACCGTTTGCTGCGCGCGGACGAATCTGCTGGCTCGGGGAGTGCATCGACTTGCGCGAACACAATGGCGTCCATGGACAGACTGGTGGATGCAGTGGCGTCCACTGCGAAGTTAGCCTACGCGGCTGCAGCCATGCACCAAGCGCCAGAACCTCAACGGGTTCTCACGCAGGCATCCGTTGCGCAAGCCCAGCAGACCCCACTGGCGCTCGAAGACCTGCCACGGGCGGATGTGGAAACACACACTGTAGGAGCGGCTATAGCAGATCCACCAGCAACGGCTGCTGCTACATCAGTGCAGGAGAAGCTGCGTGATTTGCGTACAGGGATGGGAAACCACTGCGCGTAAGCGACCCGCAACTGCATCGGAGGGACGCAAGGAATCCGATGTTCCTGCGCACCGGCGGCCAAGCGCCGCGCCTAGCGTTCTCCGGAGACCGGCCAGTTCTGGTGGAGGGAAGGCCGGACGGACCTTCTGGCGATGGACCTGATACTTGCAAGCGTTTCGCATCTAGACGCTACAACGCTGCAAGGAAAGATGCCCTCAAGCGTGGAAGGTCTCCGGAGGAAGCCTCAGAGGCGGCCAGAAAAGCTCATCGCAAGGCTGTGGCAGAGTGGAACGCAAACAGCTGACGTTCTCATCGCTGAGTAGGGTAGGCGTGCGGCGCTCTATAGCTGACTCAAACACATACAGACATACCATTGGGGAGAAAAGAGTGGCGCGCTCTCGTAGACCGTACATGTTTATACCGTTTATATTCCCGGACTTGAGCAGCAGGCCCAATTTTTATGTTCGCCGCAGCGTTTTGGGCTCTATAGAGGAGGTTCGACCGCGTGTGCTTCCACCAGAGGCGGGATCCTGAATCGTCGACGTTTACTACATACACACATACATACAGATGTATATTGCTTTTGGATGGCTTTATAAATAGTATATATATATATTATTGCATTTCTTGAAGACCAACTTGGTCAAAAGCTGATGCAATAAACTTGGCTCAAGCCGAGCACGCAAAATAGTCAAAAGTGACCGCAGAAACCCCAGGTTCCAGCTACCACTGCGCATGCAGTGGGAGCGGAGCCGGTTTCGTCCAGGGACCGCGTGAGAGGCGCCATGGATCATCCTGCTCCTCCTCCTTTTGCTCCCGAGGACGCCAATTGGCAGACCACGGCCGGAAGGCCTGCTGGCCCCACGGCCACCGAAGGCCATTCGGCCGGCGCTGGATCGATGTGTCCTCGATGGGAGTGACCCCTGGGTTCGTCGCGACCCATGGACACGCCCGCCTGCTCAGGAGAACGTGAATGCGGACTACCTGCAGTTCTTGCAATGGCGGCAAGGCTTTGAGGCTGGACCAACGACACCTCCGACCTTTGCCTTGGAGCCCAACCGGAGCTACACGCACGACGGCAGGACCACCACCAGAATGGGATGGGGCCAAGATGACCCGAACTCCACCTACGGCCAGAGGACCTACGTTGCTGAAGGGCTTGACCGGCCCTCCTTGGGAGCACATGAAATTCCTCGCAGCCGACGATGGCTGGCTGGACAACCCCGACAATGGTCGAGTCCTCATCAACCTCATGGACACCAGGGAGTACTATGGAGAAGAGGGAATCCATGCGGGCGGCATGCAGCCGCATCACTTTTCATCTTCACCGAGCCAAAGGGGAGAAGGCTCAGGCCTTTATGCTGCGTTGGGACGACGGGGTGAAAGAGAAGGGTGTCAATCTTCCGGGAGAATACCAAGGTTTTCTCTTGGTGACAGCCCCTCAGCTTACAAGTGACCAGATCAAATTGCTGCTCAATTACACTCGTGGCTCCCTCCAGGTCTCGGATGTCAAGGCCTGGCTAAGGATCCATGAGACGGACCTCGACGTCACCACCCTCGGCAATGACAAGAAGAAGGCCACCAACGAGGTCCACACCATCTATGAGGAGACGGTCCAGGAAGAGGGAGATGTTCTGGACATTGAGGGCGAGTTGATTCAGGACGAGGACACGGAGATGTTGCTCACCACCTTGGCCGAGATGTCTGAGGGGGAAAATGATGGACAAACTACTACGGAGATCACCGAGGGCGAGGCCGAAGAGGTTCTTCTGACCATGCTGAAGGAGCGCCCTCGGACCAGATCCTTTCAGGGAGCGATGAAGGCCAAAAAGAACCTTGACCTGGCTCGAGGTTTTGGAGCAGGCGGTGATGGAGCCGTTCGACCAGGAACTTACAAAGTCTCAATCGAAGAACTGAAACGTAGAACGAAGTGTCATCGATGTCAAGAAGTGGGTCACTGGAGTCGAGAATGTCCCAACAAGGGACGAGGCAAGGGAGACGGGAAACCAAAAGACATCCACTACATCACAGCGGAGACCTCCGACGAGATTGAATTCCTCTACTTGGACGCTGACGCGGCTAGCCATTCCGACCCGACCTCCCGGGACGCTCAAGCGGAGTTTGTATACATGAGCGTGCCGCCTGTCATCACCCATGAGATTCTTACCATGGAGACTCCTGTTGAAGCTGGTTGTGCTACGATAGATACGGGGCATCAAAGAATGGCCATTGGTCTTGATGCTTTAGAACGGTATCAGAGCATTCTGCCCCCTGAACTGGTCATTCGATTCTGTCGGGAGCGACACCAGTTTCGAAGCGTTCATCAAACTTCCTGCACTGAAAGAGTTGCTATCATGCCCAATTCACTTGGCCCCCGAGGGAGCTATCTCAAACCCGCTATATTTGAAGATGGAACATGTCGTAGTGCACCCTTTTTGATCAGCCTGCCATTTCTCCTACACTGCGGCATTCAACTCCATTTAGACCCCACGTTTGGACTACTGACTACTGTTGACGTCGAGGAAATTGGGTTTTTCAGCAAGATGTCATTTGGGTCCTACGGGTGCCCTGAGAGTCTTTTTACAAGATTTTACAGAAGATCAAATTCGACGGCTGGCTGGGGTACAGGATAGCAAAATTGTTGAGTATCAGTATGAGTTACTACGGACAGAGCATTCAGCTGGCTCAACGGAGAACGCTCAATTGTTCCGCTCAGCTGTCCAGTGAGTCATCATGCAGAGCCGTACCAAGAGGAATCGCACCGAAGCGGAAGAGAGCATCTCCATGGTTCGGGCATGGTACCGGATGGTACTTCGCCTGTTTGCCATGATCGCACAGGCACTTCGGCGTCAAGCTCTGTCCCAGATTCGCATCCCGGGACCATGGGGCATGAGGTCCCGCCAGATCATCCAATCAGCCGATCTCTTGCAGGTGGAGGAGTTGGACGAGATCGTCAGCCACTAGCAACTCCAAGAACGGAGCCTTCAGGAAGCACGATACCGATATCCATCCCCAGTGACGGAGGCATCCCAATCCACCGACACGGGCACCCCGACAGAGTGGAGCAAGGTAACAGCATCCATCCCCACGGGACCAGAAGCCAACATGTGGCAAATTCCCCAGGGGCTGGATCTCCGATCAGCTCCAAAGTGCCACTGCCAGCTCAAGACCAAGCTGTACACCTCACTGACCCACAAAAACTACCAACTGGCGCTGTGTCGGGGACGAGATCAACAGTGCAGCAACGGGTTCCGGGTGAAGGAGACCTGCAAGGAGTGTGGCAAGGTGCTCATCGACGAGACCACCGACACGGGGAAGGTGCATCAACGGTTCAAAGACCAGAAGGCACCATCCACTCCGTCAAGGAGCTACACTCCCTCGTTGGCCCCGGGGACACCCTCACCAGTGGAGGAGTACGACTACCAGGAATTTCTTCAGTGGAAGAGTCAGCGAAGGGGAACAGCATCCGGGCCACCATGCCAATCGTGGAAGCCCCCCTTTCCGGTGGATCCAATCGAAATGATCGAGCCGGAGGACTTCCAGGCATGGCAGAACTTCAAGCGGCTCCAAGCGGGAAGCAAGGAGCGTCGCCACCACCACTGAGTGAGCGTAATCTGACCAATGGGCTGAGACACAACATGGTGGGCAGGTTGAAGCAAACGGAACGACTTTGGCATGAACTTCATTCATTGCTTAGCGTGGAACACCCAGAACCTATGGGAACCCCACTAGCAGAAGTCTACCATCGGATCCGGAAAGCCACCCACCGTGACAGTCCGCAGCTCAAGACATATCAGGAGCTTGTCAGCATGGAAGCAAAACAGTTGAGCACGGTGATGGAGATTTGCAACCCAGGATGTTTCAATAAGCAAGCTGACAACTTTGGATTGCGATGTGGACAGGTTTTTGACATTGTGTTGGGTTGGGACCTGCTGGACAATCAGTCACAACAACATGTGGTACAATACATCAAGTCGGAGCGTCCAGGACTAGTTTTGCCAGCACCACCTTGCACTATGTTCAGTACCCTGCAACATCTATCCATCCGAACGCGACATGCCAACTCGAGATTGTTTGATGATCACTTGAGAGAACTACGCCGCGCTCGCGACCTGCTCAAGTTTTGTGTGGAAGTCTGCCAATTATGCAGAGAGCTCAACTTGACCTATGTATTTGAACATCCATGGCGGGCCACGTCATGGAGTGAACCATGCCTAAAACGACTGGTGCAACAATCAGGCAGTTACTTAGCTAGAGTGGACCAATGTCAACTTGGACTGGTTAGCAGCCAAGGCAACCCAATGAGGAAACGATCAGGCTTCCTCGCCAGCCATTTAGAGATTGCGACGAGCCTCAACCGGACGTGCCATGGTAACCATCAGCATGAGCACATAGTTGGCCGCGCCCCAGGAGATATGGCCAACCGATCCAGAATGGCTCAACGCTATCCCAAGCTTCTCATTCAGTGCATCCTCGGCACCTACGCTGCTAGTATTGGGCTGAACGCTTCGGAACTTCATCACGTTCAGGCATCGAACACCCTCACCATTGACGAGCAGCTCACCAAGAAGTTCCATTTGAATTCGCTTGCCGTGGGAGATGCAGTACGACTGCAAGTGGCAGAGGCAGTACCACCAGGCGTGGGAGTCGTCGAATGTCATGCCATCGATTCTCAAGAACCCGGAGGTGATCAAGATGATGAAGACACCACCGAGAAAGGAGACTTCCCAGGCAGTCATCCACTGTCACTTCCAGCATTGGTCAAGAGAGCGCATGAAGGACTCGGACACCCAGAACAAGAACACTTCATCAGAATCTTGAAAAGTCGCAAGGCTTCAGCTCAAGTCCTGGAGATTGCCCGCAACCTCAAATGTGCTGTTTGCAAGAAGTTCAAGAGGCCCAAACCATCCAGGAGTAGACTCCATCCAGATGAGGACGGGCTTCTTGCAGAAGACCAAATACTGCTTGAACATTTGTGATTATGCTTCACATTTTCAAAAGGTAGTCCCCCTCAGCGACC